AACTATCTAATAAAATATTAAATCTCAGAATAATAAAACAATTTATTATAGATTCATGGGGGAAAACATGCTTGTTGTTATTATACTGGTGCAATTAGCTCAGGTGACTTGAGAAAGTCACCTGAGCTAATTGCACCAGTATAATCATTTCTACTGATCATTTCTAATTGCACCAGTATAACCATTTTCTAATCAGGCAAGTCAGGAGACTTGCCTGATTAGAAAATCTTTGACCCGGTTTTTATTGTCGTCAAAATTATAATACAAATAAATTAAATGTTTTTATGAATATATTTTATATATTTTTAAAAAAATATTAAAAAAAAATTAAAGATATTTTTGTAAAAAAATTTAAGATATTGCTTTTTAAATGTACATAAATCGACTTAGAAATAGGGATTGGCGCAATTAAATGTACATGCATCCAGGGCCGCCGAGGGCCGTCTTGCCGCCTGGGACAGCAATCTTGATTGGCGCCCTTATTTATCAAATTTTCTCTATATTAAATATGAAGAACCTTTCTTTTTTTTCTTTTGTTAACTACATTTCATCTGGCGCCCCTTGGATATCTGCCGCCCGGAACAAACTTCTTCCGGTGGCCCCCTCTCGGCGGCCCGGCATGCATCGACTGAAAAATAAAGATTGGCGCAACCAGAGATAAATCAGAAAATGATGCGCTCAGCATTTTTTAACAGTTGCTTTAAGTGGTTGATTGTGAAACCAGGGCTTGAAACCAGGCTTTTTTAAATTTATCTTTGAAAAGGATTTTAATTATAACCGAGTAAGAAAAAAATATTAGCGTTTTTTAGTGTAATTTTTTAAACTTGAAAACCGAATTAGGGGGGGGGGGGGAGAGAAACTGCAGTAGCGCCAAATATCTGTATATAAAGCTAAATTTTAAAAATATGAGTACATACACTCTATACATACAGTTTCTAATACGTGTAAAAGTCAGTGGCGGATCTACAGTACTGCAGATTAGGCGGCCGCCTGAAGAGAAATATTATATTATAAATAAGGTGTATCTTACTTTACATTTATTTAAAGTCAAAATTTCATTAGGATTTTTTTCACGGTTTCGAATTTGAAACCGCAAAAATTAGCGAGAGTGTTAAATATAATGATTGGCGAAAAGGCTTTTTTATGTATTAGGCAAAAAAATTTTGCCTAATACATTTACAATTATCTCTGTGACTAGGTTCATTTGTAAACATTTATACACATTTAATAGTTTAAAGACTGTTGACTTAAGCATATAAATCACTTAAAATCTCTGTGAATATGACTTTCACGTCTTTTGCTTGCCAGTTACTCTCATACACTTTGCCTTTCAAAATAGCCCAAAAGTCTTCGATTGGGCGACACTCCGGTACGGCTGGCGGATTGTCAACTTTTTTGATAAAATTGATGTTATGAGTCTTGTAGCAGCTGGTCACGGTTTTGGCATAATGCGATGAAGCCAGGTCCGGCCAAAATATGTAATTACCATCGGCATGATAAGCGTTGATGAACGGCACTAATCTTTTCCTAATACAATTCATTTCATAGATGGCTTTATTGACTGCAAGGCCGCTGGGTATAAAAAATGGTTTTGAAACACCTTTGTCAGAAGCGGCCGCCAGACAAGCACCTTGGGTTCGAACTTGCGCTTTTTGTGATATTTAACACTTGGTGGAGTCTTGTCTCTGTTGCTAGAGTAGTAGGTGCTGTTTCCATTAATTGTTGAGTGTGACAGCGTGAAGTAAGACTCATCGTCAAGGATAACCGATTTTCCTTTAAAAACGCGATAAAGACGATCAATGCCAGTTTTGATTCGCTCATTCTGGTTCTCTTGTCGATGAGGTATACCCTGTTTTGTATAACTTTTGATGTCAGTGTACTTGGAAAGAGTTTTAATGATATGTGAATGACTGCATCCAAATTTTCGACCAGCTTGCCTCATCGAAACTCGGTCACTGTGATCAAATATGGCTTTCAGGCGCTTGATCCTCTTAGGGGTCATGATTTTGGCCACACGACCACTTCCTTGCACTCTTTTGTGCCCAGAATCATTCTCAACACGTTTGATTATATCATAGATAGTGCTTCTTGGGATTTTTTTCAGCATTGAAGTGAGCTACTGTGAACTTTTTACCTTGCAATTTATTATTCAAATAGAACTCGTAAATCCGTTTTCTTACCTCTTCTTGCTTGGTCATCATTATTTTTTTAATTATTATTAATTATCTAAAAAAAAAAAAATAAACTTAGAGAGAATTAAAAAAGCAATAAAATGGATATAAACATGAATAAAAAAGATTTAGCTTGTGGCATTTAAAATTCAGTTAAAGTTTGTCCGGATTTTTAGTAACCACCCGTTATAATCCCTATAATCTATAATCACAAGTTAAATCTTTTGTGAGAACTTAAAGTGATTCAGAGTTTGAATACATTTTAAACTGTTATTAATTATTTAGGATGTTTAAATATTCAAACATCTTTATAAACGTTGTAGTAAAATCAAATAATTTTGAATTATTTGAATGAATGCAATACACTTTTCGTGTCAATCTAATTGACACTAAAAGTGTATTGCATTCATTTGTATGTAGGATAAAAACATATATTTTATTTTCTAAAAATACATTTGGACATAAATATATTTTTTAACCTTAAAATCCAAAGTTAGTGAAAATAAATATTAAAACATTTAAATATTTTAGTAGATAAAGAGTAATGGAAAACCTTTCTGGTTGAAACAGTTCAGTACAATATATTATTTATCCTAATTTTTACTTCATTAAATTAGCAGTTTACTTTCTGAGGGAATTTTTGTTTTAGAAAAAATTGTTATATTGTTACAATTGTTATATTGTTATTATTAGTATTATTGTTCAAGGAACTCTCCTGAACAATATTACTAAATAACTTCCACATTTTTATTTTTTAGGAAAAGCAGTTTGCTAATTGATTGTGTATTTTTCTGTCATACACCTTCAGTCGTTCTGCATAAAAAATCGTACACATGAATAGGAAGGAACCTTGACGTGGTTCATGTGCTTTAAACAAATACCTTCTAGACAGATACATTCTCACCCGTTGTATGGTGAGGGATAAATGGTCAGAAATTTGATTTCTTTAGATTTTTTTTTTTTCTGAATTTAGTTATTACTCAATAAATCAAACTTTTTAAAATGTATTAATAAAATCATAGTTAATCTACTATTTGTTTTCAACAGTTTGTATTCTTTGAATTGGCTAATAAAAATTAGCAAATCAATAAAATGGGCTGGTGCTAGTCACCGATACAGATTGTGAAATATTTGGCTGATTAAGTTGATGCAGATAAATCTGAACATCACCAAGAATATTCAGATTAGTTTTGAATTTCCAAATTCCTTTTTTTATTTTTAGTTGACATTGAGTACATTGTAGGTATCAAGAATAGCTAGTATAGGTATAATTTTTATTAAATTTTGCATATGTTTCGTGTAAAAGATAATGACCAGAATCTAGTTTATATTTATAAAAAGAAATCCAAAACAATAGTTTGGGAGGGAGCGATTTTCTTAAGTTAATTTTTGCTTGAATTTCAGACTTATATTGTCTTAACCAGTTTAGCATTAAAACTTTTTTTTTTTTTTTTTTGAAATTGCGTGCTTATTTTTATAAAAGGCTGCAAACACCAAGTCTTAATCACAAAAAAAACACAAATTTTTTCAAATTGACCAAATGGGGTGAATCCATAGCGTTAGCCCCCCCTTGTATCAAATAAAAACCTTTTGAAAATATAAATCCGAGTTAGTAAGGAGTTTACAAATAGTAAATGGGGAAGGGAGGCTTATTTAGTATCTGAGAGTACCACTGTCTGGGATGGATTGTGTAATAACAATCGTGGCTCAGTAGTTAGAGAATTGGATTCGTAATCTAAGGGTTGCGAGTTCGATCCCTACTCTAAGCACATAAAGGTTATCGGTAAGGTTGGAAACGGAGAGCCAACTTATAAATGCTATTGTCTTTGCGGCAGTGCTCTGTGACAAGACCATTAGGACTTCTTAAAGCACTTTAATAACAAAACAAAAACAAAAAAAGGGGGGGGGGCGGTAATATATAAAAAAAAAGGATAAATAAATCCTAGATCCGCCCCTGAAAGTGGAATATTGGTATGTGATAGCAACAAACATAAACATTTAATTATAGGATCCGTATCAAGAAGTTTTATTAAATCCGCGATAAAAATAAGATATAATTGATAAATTATTCAAAGTTTCTTTGATCATATTTGGTCTTAAAAAACTTTTGATCAATTTAAGTTTTGAAAAACTTTTTTCACCGGAACAATTTTTCATAATAAAGCATAAAAAGATTATTATGGGCTTTTTACTTCCGATATTTGCCAAAAAACCATCAAGTTTCTAAATTTTTTTTTAAATTCTTATTCTTTTTCAGCTTTTTTCTTACGCTACAGAAATCCACTACTGTGCAATTGATTCATTTTCTTAATAAAATAAATACACTAAAGTAACGGGCTTGATCGCGTAAGGCATGCGATAGCACTTTGTTCCTGACTAAGCATATAGTTTTTAATTGTTCTTGAGAACGCATATAGTATTTAGCACTGATTTCAAAATATAATATATTTAGTTATATATAATATAGTTATAATATAGTTAGATATATTTTGAGATCAGTGAGTATTTAGTTGCCACGGCTTTATTTAGATAATTGAGAACATTCAAGTTAATGTATGTTTCCATCTATGTCCGAATAATAATTAGTTTTAAAACTCACGCAAAAACAATTAACTGCATATTTTTATACTTTAGTTAGCCAATTTAAACATTTTTCACTTAAATTTTAATTTTTTAAACTTAAATCACCTAAATAATTTATTTATAAACACTTAAATATTTTTCACTGAAAATCACGGGGCCCTAGGCCGCAGCTTAGTCGGCCTATTAACTGAATGCATCTTACATAATAAACAAGCCAAGATTACGCAAGTTAAGTAACCTTTGACCTGTTATTAGTTGCAATTCAAGAGATAAAAGCTTTCTGTCGGATGAAACTTGACACTATCCTTATTTAGGACCAATTTAAAGACACAATTTTACTTGTAAACAAAAAAGCCCCTTTTTTATGTTAATAAATCATTAGGCCGTGACCAATATTCTAACTTATGACTTCCATAAGTATTTGTTATCAAACAAAGTCTTATTGAAAAAGATGGATTTAACAAAAAAGTATAGTTGGTATGATTCATCTTCCCTAGTTCTGACAAATGATTGTTCAATAACAATGAAATTGGTAAATGATTCAAGTGATTAGTTATATAAAAATAAATAATGGTTACAAGATAACAATAGAGACAAGTTAAATAATTAAGGAAAAATTATTAGCTTACATTTATATCGTATGGTATATTAATATAGAATAAATTATAAGACATAATTCATCAAGAATCAGTAATTGTAAGAGAGCAATAAAATTGTGAACATTTTCAATTAAAATTATGTTAATTTTAATTACAAAACCAGCAATTAGTATTGAAAAAACAAATGACTTTAAAAAAAAAAGTTTATTATTTAATTCTCATAAAAGAGATTCACTCTAGTACTGTCTCGCTAAATAATTAGGATTCTCGTTCATTTAACACGTATTGTAAAATCTCCTTTTTTTTTATTACCATATGGCAACCCTATTCAAGGGTACTTATATTTTTTTTCATTTCTAGTAATCTCAAGGGTCCCTTAAGATTACTAGAATAGAAAAAAAGTTCTAGTGCTGATTTTAGATAAATTGTAATTGAAGAACATTGTTAAAAGCGTTTAATTTGTAAAGAGTGATGTCTCTTGCTACAGTTTCGATAATAGTAACAGTTTAACTTTTGTTAACATATATATATATATATATATATATATATATATATATATATATATATATATATATATATATATATATATATATATATATATAAATATATATATATATATATATATATATATATATATATATATATATATATATATATATATACATATTCCCTTATCATTGTACTTGGGATATTATTGGGTACTTATATTTGGAATACAATACAATACCATTGAATGAATCAAATCAGCTTTTAGTCAGTTTTGAGAAGTACAATAATAAGTAAAATATGATGAAAGAAAAGAATGAAAACATATTTTGAGTGATAATAATGCATAGTTTAAACCACCTCATAGTGGGCCAAAGATCAGCATAAATGCTAAAAATGAGTAATTGTGTAGACTTTTTTTTTTTTTTGCAAAATTTTGTTTGTATATACCTTGCAATATAACAATTTGTCATTTAAATATTTTTATTTTTGTATTAGGAGTCCTGGGAAAATTTAAGCTCGTTCATGTAAAAAACAATTTTTTTATTTAAAAATTATTCATAAAATTGAATTTTACTTAGTAAGTACAGTTTTCTTTAAGTTAATTAAAATTATATAGTTTTGATAGAAGCTTCACTTTAGAAAACTAAATGAACCAAAAAAATCTTTTTTTTTTTTTTTTATAAAAATTTTTTTCTTTAAATTTAAATGTGCAATTAAATTATAAACAAAATATAATAAATAGGTACTATACAAAATTTAAGGTCTTTTTTTGCCACAGTTTCTTTTTAAAAATATCTTGCAAAAAGTTGTGCTTTATGCATATGGCTTGTTTGACGTTTACATTTGTTCAGAGCACATAGTTGTTAATTATGAATTCTATACAGTTAAATGCTGTTTTGAAAGCTACAGTAAACAATAAATAATAATGGTGTTATACTTAATTCAGTTATATTCTTTTCTTATTTATTAATTTAAACTTATTTTATTTAATTATTGATTATGTTTTTTATTTTATAAGATAAAAATAATAATATATGTAATAGTATGATTGATTTCTCACATTGTTGGAATCTGGTTACATAGTGCTTTCATCCCATATGAGTGGGTTTCTTGGGATAGCCCCTCAGAGTTTTGATTAATTTTATGTTACTGAGATTGGATTGAGCTTTTATTTTAACATTTATTTAATTTAAAGTTGTGTATAATTTTTACTCAAATTTTTGATTAAATATATGATAAATAATTGTTTCTTTATTTAAATAAAGGGTTTACCATGTAACAGTAAATTTATTTAATTACTGCTTTAGATCTGGGAAAAACTGTTTCTGATAAAAACTAAAAGTTGTGTCTGAAATCATTAACACCCTACACCCCTTTTTTTACAGGGTATTTAGGATACCTGCATCTGCAAAAGCAATAAATAAAAAAAAAAGATCTTCACAATGACTAAAGTTGCTAATAAAAATTTCAATTTCAAATCTTTAAATATAAAGAAGTTATGATTTTTTCTCTATTTAATGTCAAACTTGGCCCACTATGTTTATTGATTTCTCACTTTTTTTTCAGATTAAACTTTAAGTAAAAAGAAGTTTTGAAATTTTTTAAAAAACTTCTCTTTATTTTTGTTTTTATTGTTTTGTTTTACTTCCTATTTTCTACTTTTAAAAAATTAAACATTTTTTAAAACTTTTGTTTTTGGTTTAATTAAAACACTTGTTTTGTTTTACTTTTTTTTTTCTCCCTCTTTTTTCTTATCTTGAAAAACTGTTCATTAATAATTACTTCATTATATTAGTTCATTAATAATAACTCTTCATTAATAAATCTCTACTTATTGCCCCTATAACATTTTACTAGTTTTGTTATGTCTCAATCATCTCAATTCTCTTTTTTTTTATTATTAAATATTAATTAAATAAACTTAATAATGCAGTAAATGTAAAATACAATTATATTTTACATTCTTGATTGTGCATTGTTTCATATTTAATTATTCTATGCTTACTTTGTAAGTAAACAAAAAAAAGTTGCACTGTGAGGTAGAAAAATTTTATTTAAAAAAGAGAGTGCTTAGTTAAAAAAAAGTTTTTTAATATTATTATTATTAATATATTTTTTTTAGATTCAAAAGTAATGATTACATTGGTTAACTTGTGCCTCATTGTCAACTGCACATGTCTTATATTGAGCAACTGTGAAGCTCTTCCTAATAAAATCCTAAAAACTTTTAATCACATTAGAACTAAAAGTTCGCCAAGCGAACAGAAAGAATCTGTTATTCAATTAATTAAACGATTAGTTCCTGCTCATGCGTCAAAGTTTATTATCAGTATTAATAAAAATTATGTAGATTCAGAGTTTGCTGATTATTTTGAGATTGTTAGTACCACTAATGGTAATATTAAAGTAACAGGAAGCACTGGGGTAGCAGCTGCTGCAGGGTTTTACCATTATTTAAAGTACTGGTGTTTTGCACATATTTCATGGAGTGGAAATCACTTGAACATTCCTATAAATTTACCTTTGGTTCATTCTCCTGTTAAAAAAGTATTTTATGAAAGGTAAGGCAAACAAAGTTTATTTTTAAATAAAACACTTGATTTTATACTGAAATAGCCATCTATACGTGGTTCAGCAGATATCAATTTTGGTTTAAACTATTTATTTATATTTTAATTATATTTTAAATTAACGCATCTTTATATATTTTTAAATTTAATATATATATATATATATATATATATATATATATATATATATATATATATATATATATATATATGTATATATATATATATATATATATATATATATATATATATATATATATATATATATATATATATACTTAACTACTTTAAAACATCAGATACTATGAATTCTCACAATACTAAATAATTTGTTTGAAATTTTCGCTGGATTGTAGGCAGCATCATCAGCATATAATATAGTTACAAAAATGTGACAGTTAACAACAAAAAAATTTTTAAAATTAAAATTTGACAACAGCTTTAGATTGGTTTCTTTTATGTAAGTATAAAATAAAATGGTCCAAAAATTTTTTGGCATATTGTCCATTGTTTAAATCAATACCACTGTACATAGAAAAACACTGATGTTTTTGTCTCCAAGGCTTTTCTATCAAACTTTTTTAGCCTGCTTTTTAAGTAATTTTTCTTCATTCATTTTGTTTGCATTTAATTAAATAGGTCCCTGGTTGGCTGTTGTATCATAATTTTGATTTATTCTATACGTTAATAGCATTTTTAAGTTGGCGTTTAATTTAAAAATAATTATGTATTCAGCTTTTCTGAATATTTTACTTAGCCAGGAGGATTTTATTGGTATCTATGGTAAAGAGATTGTCGGAAGGTTATTAAAGTTTAATTGGATTTTTTTTTTTGTTCGCAAAATGTTTTTTCCAACCTGATAAGATATGTCTTTAAGCATTCTTTTATTGTACTCATATTCAGTATACACTTTAATTAAGGCATTTTTTTTTTAAACGTCTTCGCTTCCAACCAAGCAACGATACAAGCAACAACTGTTAGAGTTGGAAGTTACTGGAAGAGAGAAGATGAAGGTTGTAGAGCAAGATAACAATTGACAGATGACTTAAAAGCTTGCAAATAACATGAATCAGGAAAGCAAGATGAAGGAACTGAATTCCAAAGAACTGATGCTCGAGGGAAAAACTAAAGGAATAAGAGTTTTTGGAGCATTTAGGAACAGTCACAGAAAAAGGATGAGACTAAATTAAATGACAAGTAAGACAAGAATGAATTTTAGTAAATGGCACAAAAGATGCTAGCTCTTTAGAACAATGTCCAATACAGTATTTGTAGAAAGAAGAAAGAGAAGCAACATTACGACAATGTGATAATGGTTGGAGGTTGACAATGCGTTTTTGCACGTTGTCTAAAAGTTTTTTGACTATGTTCCAGTCGCTCATAGTACACAATTCCCTTCTGATCCCACCAAACACACAGCATTCTCTTCTTTCTGAATCGATTTGTTTTTGAAGTCGATGTTGATGGTTGTCCTGTTGAAACCGATGATCATTTGCATTTTGGATTTTTGAAAAATATCCATTTTTCATCTTCAGTAATGATTCAATGCAAAAAACCCTGTCTTTCTTGCTTTTGAATGAGCATTTTG